ATCTTTTGATACATTGTTTTTTCTTGTTATTTTAATAAATACAGAAAAGTATTTAATTCCATAAATGTTTACATTGACATATTTTATTATAACAGTCCGATGTTAGAATGCTTTAACTTGAAGTTTGAGTGACACCTTTATAACTTGGTGATGACCAATTACCTTCTGTAAAATTAAGTCTTTAACCTTATTAATCAACCATGCCACAGTGACAATTATCCGTTCTATAAATTGTCAGACTTTGACCTAAGCGAACCTCCTGCAGAGCATTTTATTCACACGTCAGACGTGGTGTCAGAATAGTTTTATTATACATGGTTCAATTTCCATGTGTGACTCCTTCATCTGCTGAATGTGTTAAAGAGATTTAAAGGTGGGATTTCTCTTTATGTATATTTTTTTCAAATCATTTTAAATTGAGGTGGAGTACTGACTGTCATTTTGTATCATAAGGAAAAAGGCATGTTTTTTTTACACAAAATATGACAAATGGTGGGAAACATTCAAGCTTCAGTGTTGTTTATCAAAAAACTGTTTTGATTTATGGTTCAGAGCCAAACAATTACTCACCAAAGGATGTGTGAAATAGCACTGTTATTATTTTGCAAGGTCGGAAGAAATTAACCAAATTTGAGAGAAAGCCTAAAATTGTGGGGAAACAATTGAAAATCAAACTAATTTATGATAAAAAAGGTGAAAAATTAAAAATTAAAATTACAGATAATTTCCTCTGCAGGAAGATAACTACTTTTTCCCCACGTCAAAAATCCATCACAGTTTTAGCTTCACATGATTAACCACTACCTTTCTTCAACTAACATAAAAAAATAATTGAATGGTGTCTGGTTTTTTTTATTCTCAGTCTCAGACTGTGGAGTTTACATTTCATGTTTTTCATGCCACTTTTTTGTTTCAGGTTGAAAAGTTCTAATGTTCTATTGCAATCCTACTGGATTATAGGGATTTGCCTTTGGATGCATAGGAGGTTAGAAACTCAGCCTAAAACCGTAGTGAAATTATTGTATGTTTCATAGACAGTGTTGACTGAAGACATCAGCGCAAACATGGAGAAATCATTTCAGTTCAAAGTCTGTGATGTTGCCAATCCTCTGGGATTTACACTGGTTTAATATCTCCATGTTTTCTCCCCGTTTATTTACTCTCCACAGTCAATAAAGTAGATGCACAGATAACAGGACCTGTAAAGGATTAGTACAAATTACAAATTGCTGTTTGGTAAATGTTAAAAAAAGGGACAGAAGTAGGACAAAAAGGAAAACATGATGAAATACTGTTTAAAAAAAAACTAAATGAGCGAATGAAGCTCTGTGTGAAACAACCGTGGGCGATAAAAATGACCTCGAAAAAAAGGGTCATCATCACAGCTTTCCTTACATTGTGTTTCTGCCTCTTGTCCTTTCTGTAATGTCGGTGCTAAACATTCAACACGCACAGTTCCTTTGTCATTTTCGCTCGGTGTAATAGATGATGAAGCTGCACTCTGATAACTGCCTGGAGCGAATACAAACCTGGAACAGTGCGACGGCATGATTGTCTCCCTGTCACTCTGTGTCCTTGTCTGTTTCCATGTACTTTAAAATTACCTGAGTTGTTGTTTTCTCATTTAGTTGAACTTGTCTTTGTAGTGCACTATGCAGCGGATGTTCAACACAAAAAAAAGGAAAAGTGGATAAAGGGGGAAAATACTTATGCAGCTATTTTCTGTGTTTGTCACATACTTTAGGCCCTAATGCATTTGCTGTTAAAAAAAGGGGAGGGGGGGACAGTGTATTGTTCTTCTTGCAAAGTTTGCACAAACCAAGTGAGGCAAGACGACAACGTTCACATTTTTCGTCCACATGAATACGTTGCATGGGTGAAAATGCATTTATATTCACTTCAAAATGTCAAAGCTAAAGTAATTGGGGCCAGGCAACCATTCAGCATCAGTAACACTCAGCATCAGTGAGATCGAGAGGGAAGGGAGTGTGTTAGATGAAGGTCTGGCTGAGGAAGGAAAGAACAAGTGAGCATGTGTTGAAGAAAGAAGGCGATAGACCATGATAGAGGATGGCTGCAATATGAGAGGGGTTAGTTGGCTGGGTAACCTCACTGCAATTTGTCTTCATGCAGCCACTCTCTCACAACGTCCTGCAGACGGGGGCTATTTTGCCTTGACAAGCTTGTTGCCTCCGGTGCAAAAGGTGATTTACCTCTGTCACTGGCTAACATCCCATTCTAGCAGCAGAGTAAATCAAAAGTCTGGAGTTTCCACCGTTAATCACTAATTACAGGTTTGGCCAGCGAGCGTGATCCTTCCCAAGAGGCCCAATCCAGCCCCCGGCTTCAAATCAGACCCAAAGAGATGGAGCCAAGGCCGCTTTCTCCTCTGATATATCTCTCACAGAGGAGAAGTTGGACTGGGAGTGTTTGAGTCAGCTCCAAATGCCCAGATTCTCAGCTCTCTGAGGAATTCTCCATTGTGATCAGGTCCTGGCTTTCAAAGAGTTCCAGCCAGCAGCCAAAAAGCTTGTCCGGCTGTCGGCCACTTTCTACTTTAAATTCTCCATAGAGCCGCACACATTTCTGCCCCCCACAGGGATCAGTGGCAAATCGATTATGTTGCTCACAGCATATTCCAAAAGAATAAAGATTGCTGAGAGGTGTAATTGAATGGTTGGGCCGGGCATTACTGAGGAAGATTTTCGTCCGCCTGTCCACCTAACACTAACCCAACATTAGAAGGAGAGCCAGGTGTGTAAATCTGTTATTGGCTTCAGAGGAGGAGACAGAGACATGACTGATGGACAGTTTCACAGTTTAAATGTTGGTTCTTTAATATGAGCATCATCATGTTATGTTGCATCCCTTTTTTTTTTGTGCGATCGTTTTTCTGATTTGTTTTTCATGCAATTCATGGTATAAAGAAGCTGGATTTTACCAATAACATTGGAATTTGAACAGAGAAGCTGGTTGTATTTTCTGTCAAAACACCTGAAGGTAACAATTTCCTCCAAGTGTGTTCATATGGCTATTTCTTTTTTCTCTGTTCTCTGTTCAAATTTGACTAAACAAAATAAATAAACCACAGCATTATAAAATACACTCAACTTCCCATAAACCAGACATCTTGTACATTTTCCATTATTGCATTTTACTCTGTCATGGACAAATAGCTTAGGATCCATGATTAAAAGCTGCATTTTAAATAGAAATAACTAAAATGTAATATATATATTTTGTTATTTAACATCACAGTGACATCAAGTACTTTTTTGTGCCACTTGGAAGAAATGTACACTAAACAAACAACACCTGTAAAATAATACAATGTGATGCAACAACCCAGCAATATACACTACAGAGTCAAACATGTTGAAAAAGGTGCACCGTCTTTCAACAGTCTGTTTGTTTTTTTCCTTTTAACATTCGATTTTGCTGCAAAACAATATTGTGAATTTCTTCTTGCATGAAGACCAATTCAGAAGCACAGCTTTATTTTGTCATGCTTCAAACATTCACAAATTAAAGTAAAAAGATGTATGGTTATGTTGGATCACAGATTGATATATTATTCTTAGATTTTCTCTCCACTCTGAGGAAACGGCAGCCATTAATCCCTTTATTTTGATGTAATCCTAGCAATGATTTGCCCAGGTTTAAACCTAGGTTTCACCAGATTAGAGGATTGAGGTTCTCACAGAGCAGCTTCACTCATCTGGACCTAATGGGAGTCAAGTCCGAGGCTCAATGAGAAACCAAGTCAAAGCAAACAGAGAAAAATGACCAAGAAGGTTAAACAGCCCTTGGAGTCAGTTGGTAAAACGCCAGCAGTCACCGTGCTGCTGAAGATGCTATCGTTGTTATTCCCTGGCCAGTGGGGAAGCGAACACTCAGGTCTGTTGGACCTGCACTTTCATTAGGTTTTGTATTTCATGGCTTCAGGAGCAGAACAAATTGAGTCTCTGTTTCCTTTTGCTCTGCTGCTCATTACACCAGAGAAAAGATTAAACAGCATTCCCTCGCAGGCCCCGTTACATAACTCCTTCAGCAGATGGGTGTGTGCTGTGCTTATTGTGTCATTAAAATATCTGGACACACTAAAGACTCTAACCCAGTCCAGCCAGGCAGAAAAAAAAACTGTTGTTAACCCAGGCTATTGTTTTTGATGCAATGCTTGCTTTGTGAATCAAAAAGGGATCAAGGCCCTCTGTATGTTCTGAAATTACGCTTTCAATTGAATTCTTGTTGCCTTTTTTCATCAAATTTGTAAAAAAAAAAGACCCTTTCTTCAAGTCCTGCTGGTATCTCAGCGCTGTGTTCCACTAAATAGGCCAGGGTTTTATACCAAGTAAGAACATTTAAATTTAGTTTAATTAAATTTAAACTAGAACACATTATATTTAATCAAATATACTTTTTATGACATTTTTTGCTGTTGCGCCAAGGGATTTTTCTAATGCAAATATATGCCATGGCTCAAAAATGTTGGGGAACTGGACTACAGAATATTGACTGTTATGTCAACATTTTTGCCCTCGTTATTCTGTGAGTGTAAAGCTCACAGTCAACTCTTTGCACCAGCATAGCTGAGGGAAGTTGAGGTAAACCAGGTACAGTGAGAAAAAAAAATCATACATCAACTCCCAGTCTGGCACTGTTTATTTCTGGGGGAAAAAAACAACACTGCTGAAATATTTTTTTTTCTCTTTCTGTCTCTTATTTTTATCATAAAAAATAAACTTCCAAAAGAAAAAAAATGTCCAACTTCTACTTCTTTACACTAGTGGCTTTAACTTTTGCTTTATATGATCAACGTTGTACATCCATCAAATTGAACATATCATCAGTTTATGACGTCCTCGACGTACAAGTATAAGTTCTGATTTACGGTGAATTTGTTTTACTTTTTTGGCTCAAGCTTCTGCTGTATGAATTTCTTAGACTAACTAAAACTCAATATGAACCTCTGTGTTGTTGTTTTCCTGTCTTGTCCACAGAGGTTTTCCTGCTTCACCTTCCAGATGACCAGAAAGTCAGCGTTACGACGGTGACAGTCGGCCAAAGTGTTGTGTTGACATGTGCCATCACGGGTGACCAGAGGCCTCCCATACTGTGGAAGAGAAACGGTCAATATCTGAACTCCCTGAACTTGGAAGACATCAATGTAAGAACTCACTTGTCACTGAGTTTTACTGCAAACACAAAGATCCATTTATGAAAAGGTAGACTCACATTTGACAGAGGTAAAGTTTACTGATAGATATTTCAACAGGTTCAACACTCCATGAAATGTTTATTTTGTTGGTCATAAATCTTCATTGTGTTTTTAATGACACGTTGAAGGGTGATGTGTTTTGTGAAGAACTGTAGATATCAATAATTTCATGCCCTTTCATTTTAGATTTATTTTACGTGGCGTCGGCTCCGACTGAGATCAGTTTATTCGATTTCATTTTTTTTTTTATCTTTGTATTCCAGATCTGACTGTAATGCACAATGTCAGTTTGTTTTTGTGTTGTCTGTGTTCAGAGCCGGCTGGAAGAGATTTCAGACCAAAGGGTTTCAGCCCTCGGGGATGGACCTACTTTTACAACCCTTTGGATGTGTGTGCGTGTGTGTGTGTGTATGTGTGTGTGTTAAGGCCTCGACTGTGCTTTACGTGACAGTCTGCAGAGAACAGCTGCACATTTCTGTGCTTTGTTCATACTGAAATGAGGGTGCGTGTCAGTCTGGTGTATTATTCATTTGTACTTAAACATAGAACACCAGAAGCAGAGGTTGTTGTTTTACATAATATGTGGTAAGACAGAGAATCTAAACAAGCACTTTTGAGCTCCGTACTGACCACACGAGGAAAGAAAAAGGATGAGCTCAGTGTTTAAAATAGAATGACTACAAAAAGAGGCATAATATATAGAGAAACATCACTTTGTACTTTGTTGCCTTCCTTGACTTAAGTGTAGCGGTTATCACATCTGGCTTACACGCAGGTCGCTGCGTGTAAGCCAGGGAGCCTCCAGCATCCCTGGTATACTGAATAAATATCTATGTGGGATTACAGACAGGCATCAGTGTCACTTTTGTCCACATCTAAAGCACAAAGAGCTGCGCTGACCTCCTTGATCTAGCTCTCTCGATCCACCCTCTGTCAGGAGTGACCAACATCATTGTGATAGTGCTGTGCATAATTAAGTCAACACTGTCGCAGTAGATAAAGAGAGACCCAGTGAAGCCACTAATGTAACATTAAATGTTGATGACCCTTAAAATGAATAAGAGGCTCCCAGCTGTCTCCAGTCATCCTTGGCGCCATCAACTCACTCCAAACTGGCGCTTGGTTTCTGGTTGTGGTGATTTGATGTGTGTTTCACACACAGAAGGCTCAGCCTCAAGCCTTGTGATTTTTTTAAAGCTGTGCATGCATATTTTCCACTTTCTGAATTCCTTTTTTGACATTTTCATTATTTCTTTGAGCTTCCACAGTCAGGAAACATGTATGCAAGTGCTGAGTGTAGGAAAACACAGAAAATGACACGTCAGATTATTTCCTGACAGCTCTGATGATTCATTGGAAAATCCATAGGGGGGAAAAAGTATAAAGTATTGTAAATGTGATCCCAGCTCTGATATTTCATTCATATATTTTTTTCCTCAAACTCCTTGGGTGTTTTTTCTTTCTGCAGACTCAGTAAAAGTACATTCTTTCCATTTTCATCTCCTAATATTGCCTGGAGACACAGAGTTTGGATCAGTGTCCTAACTGCAGGTGGTCCAGGCTTTTTACTCACCATCAGTCTCTTCATGACTAATTCAAATGTCAGCTCAGGGATGATGATCTGCTGTTCAGTGTGTCGTATTTTTTAATAAAAATGCAGTAAAACAAAATGACCTTGGTGGGTTTTAGCTGTACTTCTGAGGAGAGCATTAGAAGAGGATTTTAATTTGTTTATAGTTGGAAAGGAACTATATTATTTCAGTGCTACAAATCCTATATTTAAATATATTATATACATAGAGGACAAAAGCAATCAAATCACTTTGTTTGTTATAAATGTGTAATTTAAACCATTGTAAACAGTTTTTTTACAAAATATATCACTGTTTTTAGTCAAGAAGTTTCCAGTCCTGGTGTTTCATAATGTAAATGAAAAATACTTATAACCAGCTAGGCATTTGATGACTGAAGCTAAAAGCTAGTGTTGGATTAAAATGTTTTAAAAAGCAACATAAAACCAACAAAAAAAGAAAAACAAAAAGCTGTCAAGTCAGTAAAAAAAATACTTAAAGTAGTACCACAAGTACAATTAAAAATTTAAAATTAAATAAATATAAAATTCAATTGTTATTTAACTTAAAAATTTGCTTAAATTTACCAGATAAATATAAAATTCAATTGTTATTTAATTCAATTGTAACAATGTCTTAATCTTCTTAACAAACATGCCATGAAAATGTTGCCTACCCCTACTTTAACTATCCTGCAAACACCCCATGATGAATGACAGTGCAGTTCATTAAGTCAGAATGAAAAAAAGTACCACCAGTGGGACTAATTGGTCTCTTGGTCCTGAGAGAACATGTCGTACTTACACAGACCCTCTGGGACTTCTTGGGTTCTGTCTGACGAAGCTACAGCCGACAAACATCTTCAAGTTTACGCATTACCTTTAGAGATGGTCCTTTATTTACAGACTATCACCATGAGGTAAAGCTGAACAAATACTAACAGTCCATTGGTCTCAGAACAGTACACAAACAGACATCATCAACATGAACATCCACCTGAACATGTGCAGCATGCAGGCTTAATCCAGATTTACATTTGGCTCCTGCCTCCTGTCTGTTGTCTGTTGTACGTTCCAGCAGAGAAAATAAATGATGTCTGCACCTGCAAAAGCCCATTTTAATTTGCTTTACGTAAATCTCTTCATAATGTCTGGCCGTTTATATTTGCAGACAACAAGCACCAGCATTAATTAAAATCCAATTCCTTTGAGCTTATATTAAAAAACCATCCATGCAGCCCAGTCTACAGGCCCTCGTGGTTTAGAAGTGGTTATTTTCGAATACTTCACATTAATCCCAGTGAAGCGCTTGTATCCTGGACTTGAAGCCTGTGTAAATTTTGACAAAGCATCTTGGGGTTGCTGGACATTGCATCATCGTACAGGGCTGTCAGGTTCATAAACCTCTTCCAGATTGTCCAAGCTAAATACATTTTGTGCTTTTTCTGTTCATACAGGAAAAAATGTATTTTATATTTGGAGATCTTTAAAAAAAAAATATATATATATATAAGGCCTTCAACTTTTTGTGGCTATTCAATCACCACCATGGAGATGGTTAGTTCAGGGACTGCTAACAGCTTAAAACTTCTGATGCATGCAAACTTCAGATGCAGGTGTCTACTGTGACCGTAAGTAATTGGAATTAGAAATCCACTACATCTGTGTTCATTTGCATTCATCATTGGTGAGGCCTTCACTTCTTTAGGGCAATATTGGATCTTGCTGCAGTGGAATCTTCAAAGATATTTTCGAAATGTTTTGTCACTACTGGAGGTTAGCTACCAAATGAGCTGGTTCATCTGTGTCCTTTTAGGGCTAACCTGGCACTGACAGCTTTATTAATTATAGCTTCTTGAGGAGGCAAGGTCTATTTGTAAGCCCACCTCTATGTGTCCTTCTCCCCCTCCATCTGAGTGGCTTCACTTCATTCTGCTTTGTCTGCAGAGTGGGGCCGGGCTGCAGCTGGTAGCCATGCTGAGGTGTAGGAATCGTGTCGACAGCGCTCAGCCGTGCCTCATTGTAGCCTTCTGAGTTTCATTTTTTCGCCCAATTCATTTCTCATTTACGAGAGTGACACGATATGCTCTCAGCCTGAGGGGCCAAAAACGCACCATCGATTTCCCCTCATATTGTGAGCCTCTGATGCTTCACTCACCCGACACAGTACCACTCTTCTGGCTTAGTTCGCAACACAGTGGACCAAATTGTTAAACACACTATATGCCTTTAAACAGAACAACATGGTCTATGCTAGCTTTACAAAGCATGGAAGAGAGGCCTTCATGAAGAACTATTTTAAATTATTTGTTTACTTATAAAACTATGAGCTTCAAACAGCAGCAGACACTTGAACATTTTATGAGAGCCATTAATCAGGAATGAACACAGAGTGGCACTTGGGCTTTACGAATCAGATGGACCAAGGGAAAATAAGAAGTGAGGCGTGTTGAGAACATTCCAGAAAGAAAACTTCCAAACACCTCGGTGATTGCTCTCAGAAAATGTAAAGCCTGTTTTGATTATCAGTTAAATGGCTGTATTTGATTTGATATCACTTTAAAGAAATAATAATAAAAAGTCCATATTACAAATGTAGAGTTAAAGCAATAAAGAAAGCAAAAATGAGGGTAAGTCAGTTTTTATAGCACAGAAGTGTAGAGTCCAACAGTTTTGACCCTATTATGGACGAAGACTCAAAACATAAACAGCCCTAGAGTTAGACAGCTAAGTGAAACGGCAGGGACTGACATTAGTAGATAAACACTGGTTGATGATAGACAGAGATGATAGATAGGTGATAGATCCAGGGCCAGGGTCTTCAACCTGAGGCTCCTGTGCCACATATTCCTCTTTAGTCTGTTGGCAATGGCTCCCTAGAACAGATCAAATTTAATCTGACGGATCTTAAAAATGTATGACTCATTAACATCAGACCAGTGTTTGACAGCAGGCACATGAAAAAAACCCTAATGAAACCGTGATTCCCAAACATTATTTTGCGGTGCACTTTTGGAATCCCTGCTCTAAATGACAAAAGACGAATGACAAATTTGGCTGCACCTATTTTCTTTTCCTCTTTAAGGATGTTAAAAAATATTCATATTATACATAAGACAACTTTATAATTCAAACCCAAAATTACCTTCTCTTGTCAGAATAACGTTCATTTTTTATAAAACGATGCTAACAAGATACAAGACGCTTGCTTTCAGTCAGACGAGATCCCTCACAGCAGCACGCCGTCAGCGGGCTCATTAGCTCTGAGGGTTTTTGTCTTTGTCTGCCACAGATTGAATAATGCATCTTATCTTTGCTCCTTTTTTTTGTTTTTAGTAATAAATAATCACCCCAGCATGAATTAATCATCCTTCTCTGCCTTTACACATATTCACACTGTGGATCTGCTTTTCATTTTAATCACAGCTTTGTTTTGTATTAAATAGGTCGTATGAAACGTGCAGTGCGAAGCAGCTCACTTTTATCTTTCAATGGGAAATTACATTTGTATGAGTCAAAGAGCTGACACCATTATTCCTCAATCATATCCTTCCAATATTGTTTTATTCTCACATTACCTGCCACAACATGTCTACGACCTTGAGAGCACATCAGATTTCTAATGCTACAAAGAGTTGAAGTTGTCTGTGATTGTCCTAACATTAATGATGCCACTACACCACGTCAAAGCTGTCACTTTTACTGCAGATCACAAATGTGTTATCTCGCAGCAACATTACTTCAACAGTACAAATCCTATACATTTAAAAGATGTATATACTGTATATATTTTTTTCTTTTGATATTTTGTCTTCAAAAGTGAGTATAATTTATGACAGTGTCCAAAGGTGTAATAATCAACAAGTACTATTTTAGCACTATTCTATATTTATATATGCACGTGAAGCAATTTTTAAATATTTTGTTGCTTTACATGTATTTGTCCACCTTAAAAGACTTTTAGCTTGTGTGCTAACACCAAACCATCACACTTTCAAGTTTGATGCATTCTTCATTGATTACACTCTTCTAAACTATGAAAGGATAGTGACAGTCGTACTTTCATTTTTCAAGGATTTTGGAGAAGATGGCTCTTTGTACATCACCAAGGTGACCACGACTCACATGGGCAACTACACCTGTCACGCTGACGGCTATGAGAAGCTCTTCCAAATCCACACTCTCCAAGTGAACGGTAAGAGGATCTTTTTGTGTGTGTGTGTGTTCATTGTTTACAGAAGCATCATAAGTGTGTTATGAATTTACAAGTATCACTGTTGAGGCTGTCAAACCTTCGATGACAAGAAACATTTCTGTCTCTTTTCTGTTTGTGGACTGAACTGTCTTTGATCTCTTTGGGTCCACCAGCTGCTGTATTATGAGTTTAGCGCTGTAGAACTGATTGTTTCTTTATAATCAAAAGTTGAGAAAAAGTTGTGTGTCTTTTAGGAGCAGCATTTTTCTTCTTAGACTTCTTACTCACATCAATGTATGAACAGTTCGTTAGAGAGTTTTAATATTGCTCTAGCAAACAGACTTAGCGCTGAACCCTCCAGGTCAAAGCTAAAACAGAGACGTGACGTGGTTCAAACTGTGTAAACAAGACTGTTTTTGGCTCTAATGAACTGAATACTTTAAAAAAAAATACAGATTAATTTCAGTTGATGGTGGGTTATTATTATTCAGTTGAATCAATGCGTAACTATAATGATCTGTGGATATTGTTATGGCAAGTGTTGTGCTACACAGACACAAACCCCGCGGGACTTACGACTTTTGGTAGTAATTGCTACTGAAAACTTCCACATGACCTTTTTAGTGCAGTCTATAGATTTCACACTCGTCGTCTTGGTGAAGCCTCAGAGGAGCCGCTGTCACGCTGCCGACAGCTGAGGTTTTTCTAAAACTTAATTAAGAGGGAGACAGGTTAGTATATCTGGGAATCTCCATTCAGATGGCTGTCCATCACTCTACACAATAAGTCTTATCAATATCGTCTGGCTGCAAAGTTCAATCAATTTCTACTCATTGTTTGATTTCCCAGAGAAGTACAGAGACTGAGTGCAGCAGGATTTTTTTTTATTATCGTGCATCAGCACTATGCTGCGGATCGTTAAAATTTTAGGGCTTCACTTTCTATCCACCAAATTTAATCAATGACACCACAAAACGCCCCTGTGATTTTCCACTAACGTTTCTGTATCATTCAGGTAGCCTTATCAATAAACTTCAGGAAGAGTCTGTGGTCTCCCTCCGCAGGGAACACTATCATCTTGCAGATGTTCTCGTCTTCCTGATAAAGTGTGTCCATGTCGTCGCCCTCCTTTTCATCTACTGCACTCCCTCTGTTGCTCTGACCCGACTTCACCCAGACAAATCAATGAAGTTCCATCTAATCTTTACCCTGGAAAGCCAAAAAAAAAGCGATCTAATTTCCCAGCCACTTCAGTCAAAAACAAATGGTGGCTTGGGGTAAATTAATAACAGCCTTGACTGAATCATCTGAAACAGCCAACGGCCCTGTTGGCAGAAAAATAAATGTGCTTTTCCGGCTTATAACAATACAGCCGCCTCAAATAACATTAGAATGTTAAAACTTCTGATAGAAGAGACAGGAGAGCAGGTGTTTGTCAAAATGACATTTTACCCTGCGTGGGCAAACACCTGCTTAAACAAAGAGAAAAATCGGACAATAGGCTACATGCTTTATCATTAAAACAAGTCAGTATAATGACTTTTTATCTATTAAACTCACTTCAGCTGCAAAACAGCGAGACCTATGTTTTTGTTTTTTTTACATATTTTTTTTAGCAAAGGCACCTTGACCGAAACATCTTAATAAGTTTTGGCATTTTTTTTTCACTTTTGCAAGGCTTATTCTTTTGTAATTTCTTAAACTGTTTTGTTTTCTTCTTCTTTATTAATGCTATTGTCCCTCTTTTAGCTTTTAGTTTGCCTTTGAGACAGCGTTTGGCCTTGTCTTATAAGTTAGCACTTCAGCATTACTTCAATACATTTGGGCCATCATAATACTGGGCAAACTTTAAGGAATTCTTTACTATATTTGTCTTTCTAAACTTTTTATACTTTTATATATTTGGAGGCTCACATGACTTTTTTGGGGATTTTCACCTTCAACTTCTCAAGCTCCCTTCAGTGTACATGATACACAGTCAAACCATGTTTGTACTGCAGTATACCTAAAATTATTGTATTTCATGCCAATTTTCTTACCAATTTTTAAAGTGCACAGGTACTATATGGACATTTCCTATGTAGTATGGAAACATTTCAAGTCAGTATGTTTTCTGAACACACTACAGTCAACATGGCAGCACTTTCCTCTCAAGTATTGGTGTGACATTATATATCTCTCCCGGTGAAGGTTTGTTCACTCCTCTTCCTCTGCCTGTTTTATCTGTTCGTTACATTTCTACTAACAGTGCTTCCACTTTCACTCTGACCTTGTCGGAGGATATTTTGTCACCTTGTCGGCCATCAAGTTAGGGTTAACAGCTCCTCGTGGCATTTGCCAGCTGGGGAGGGCCACATTAAATGTGCCTTGGTGCTATTGTTGGCTAAGCCGATGCTCCTGAGACTAGAGTTTAGAGTCTTTATCCTCTGCAAGGTGAGCTGTAGGTGACGGGTAAAGAAGGTAGGACTCGGTGTGATGATATAATGAGAACGCTAGCACACAAATATTTCATGTGGGAATGAGTCATAGATGTGAAGCCATAACAGACACACACACACACACACACATATACATATATATATATATATATATATGAATGACGTGTGTAGTCAAGCTCAACACTAGGCTTAGGAACCTCTGAATCCTTGATCCGTGTTGAACTCTCTCCTTTCCCAGACGTTCTGGCTTGCTCTGCCATGTTCCAAACTGGATTCTGCTGTGGTAAAGTTTTCCCAGGAGGAAGAGAGCGACAGCGTGTCCCACATGGGACGTTTTTTTGTGAAGTGTTGCTGTATCCAGGCAACATGAAGCAGTTGATGCGCAGTGGCGCAGGGTGTTTGACAGCTTGGGTGGAAATGGAACATGGAAGTAATGACAAAGATGTTTTGACTCATCTCCACCTTTGAACATTCAGTTAGTGGCGACCCAAAATTCCCCAATAAACTTAACCTTTTTTTACATGAAACCAAATAGTATTGACTTCTAATAAAGTAATGAACTGTACTGTAATAGTCAACTGTTATGGTAACAGTGGAACCATCTGTACAGTCAGACACATTTTTTTCCCCCCGTGAACAGACATGACGTCAGTGTGCACATGTTCGTTAATCCCAAGTCAGACAATACCAAACGATTAAGGCAGAATCATCCATTACGCACTCTAACCTCAGGTCTTAAACTGCAATAAAAGGACAGATGTTCATCTGACTGAACAGACAGCCAGCATCAGTACAACCAATGTGAAAGTGAATGACGCAAAAATGTCCTTTTAGATATTGTGTTAGTTGTAATTAAAAAAAATAAAACTCTTCTACTTTTAGACGCGATTAACGTCAACAAACAAAAACAAAAAATCCAACATTTGTTAAAAAAAAAAAATGAAACGTGATGCTTTCCTCTAAACATTATTGGGCAGCTATTTTATTTTTATAAAATAAAGTGGAGCTACAGGAATAAAACATTTTTTAGTTTATTAACAGAATAGTAAAAACTAACATGTGCAGTAAAAAAAAGTTTGTTTTACCCACTACAGTAAAAAGACAGACTAATTATCTCCCAGAAACACAATATTCATTCTGTAATAACCAGGCACATAAATAAATTAGTCTTTTACAAAACACAAATCTCCATCTCTCTACAGAACCTGCTTTTAGCTACACACAAGAACCCAGTGGAAGGTATCCAATATTGAGCCACCTTGTTGCTATCCCATCAGTCTGCATTTACACCTAGTCACCTAGTTTTTGTGTTTTGTTTTTTAATTAAAATAATTTAAATGTGCACTGATACATTTTATTAATCTGTAATATTTTTTCTAAATATTTTTTCTATAAAACTAGAAAAGCTATATGAAAATATAAAATCTGTTTTCAAACATTAAAGAACAATTTTCATCGACCAATGTGATACTGTTGTAATAAAATTGATTTTTACCTCCGGTAACACTACTGCGGCGAGTAGGCTTTCTATGGGAGGTGTGACTCAGGTTGGAGAGTAAGTGTGACTGAGAGGAAGGTTTTATCACCGAGTGTGTCTTTGGTGCATGAGTGGGCGGTTGCATGCATGGAATAAAAGAGTGTCTATGTGTGTTGTCCTCAGGTATGTTAGTCAGTTCTCACAATCCTGGGGTTTTTGTCTGCCATGTTTTCTGCGACAGCCACGAGTTCAATTTGATTGAAGTGATGCAACAAGTCAGGCAGACTTAGCTGGAAGTCTCTCAGCAGTGTAGGGTTGAAGTAGTTCCCTGTGAGGCTGTTTGCGCCAAGCTCAGTGTGTGTGTCTGTGTGTGTGCACGTCTGCTCATCTTGTGGAGCATCATGGCCAACAGGAGGCTTGCAGAGTGATTGACGACGGGCTCGGTAGCTTTATGATGGAGCCGTCATCCCTGCTGTGTCACATTCTCCTGGCAGCGACTCTCCTGACAATCTCAGAAACACATCACGTTGCAACTTTTTTCACATCTTGCCAATGTGGAGTTGTGAGTGGAAAAAATACTGCTAACCTGTTTTGACTCTTTCCTTTTGCATCAAGTTAGTGAAGGAATATGCTAATATTCTTTTAATAATATTTTTGTCTAATAAGTTGTTTTCATTCAGCCCCACTAATATTTGCTGCATAGTAAGTTGTGCAGCTTGTTAACACTACAAAGATTTACATTTACATAACTTATATAACACCTGTAACGCAGTTGTTTGTGTTTAGGGATAAACTAAATAAATGTTATGAATAAATATACTCCCTAAAAACTATTTGAATGCTTACAACCTTAGATTACACTTTGTAATTACACCTTCTTTTTTCTACTTTTTTCGCAACCCGTTGTCATCGCTGCATGAGTTCTTACAGGCGCTGACAGACAGCGTCAGGACAGAATGACGACCAGCTCCATCTTCAGCTCAAATCACAGAAGCAATTTACGCCAAAAAGCTTTGAGATGAGCCCGTATGTCATGTTATCCATTTTCTATCAGCCCTAAAATGATACCAGAACAGACCACAGATATGATCATTGATTGACAAGCTTTTCACCTCTGTTGGCTTAGAGGCCATTTGGATTCAACTTCCCACATTTCAGCACAATCTTACATGATGTATGGTTGTATTAAAAGCCTCTGAAAAAATGCTAAATTATCCGTGTTTCGACTCATGTTTTCAACACAACGGTTCACTTGAATGGTGATTATGAACAGTTTATCAAGTATTTGATTATTTGCAATGTAGCTAGCAATGCCATCTAACAAACACTTATCCTCAGTTATATTGTTGTCCCTACAATTGTAGGGACAATAGTATAACTAGACCAATTTAGGGAACATTTATTGCTGGTGTGACTGCATTATTTCCTTGAGGTAATCAACACTGAAACTTAGATGCATTAAACAAATGTTTAAAACAATGAATTGCTGTTTAATAAACAATGCAAATAACTAAACAAATATTAGAACTTTTCATTTTACTGCTAATATTTAGGAGAAAAAGTTTCTCGTCATTCTCTCACCGTCTAATAGTTTAATCCAAACAGTATGGATAAGAAGGCGAGCAAGAGAAGATAAAAAAAGAAGATTAGTTGGTCTGAGAAATAGCTGTTTTGACTTTACTCAGACCTGCAACACCCTGAATTTATCCCAAAGACCAGTTGTAGGTTTGTGATCATACAACTGCCACTGAAGGATATCTACAGGGATATTGATTTAAAAGGACTAGTTAAGTCCAATGCATTAATTAACAATTAAAGTGATTACAATTTTTAACGCTTTTAGAAATACTGTATAAGCAGAACTTACGCACTGTATATCCAACAATCCCCTGGTCCATTCAACGGACTTTGCTCTAAAACAGCTGATACGCAGGTTATTGTTTGCAGGCACTATTGGAGCTTAAGATACCATCTTTTCCAGCGAAGTCTGTCTTTAACTTCTGGTCAGACACGTCAGACCAGCCTCACCGAGAGCAGGGCAGTAAATACGCCCAGGACTGACAAGCTGACTGACACAATTGTCAAATGGATTGAGAGACACTCGAGATTGATAGAAATTGTTGTGGACAACGGCTTCACCGAAGTTTTGAAAGCAACTCTTGACAAGTTCTCCAAGCCAAAAACTCTACATAGTTACCGTATTCAATTTTTTGGTCGGTTCTGAGGTATAGTTTTCATCTCATTAGTAATTATTTAATTTCTTAAAGTTGATTGTAGCAGACATTACAAAAAGTCCTCATGCAACAGCAAACAGACACAATCAGAAAGTATACACTGTGTAGAGACTCGGGTTAAACATTTTCATTTAGATGATAGTAAAATATAATTGCCTCTACGGTTATTTAATTCAGCCTTGTTATTACTGAGTGGCGGCAGCATAACAGCAGTGTCTCTGACTCTGATTGGTAAAGTAACCTGGTTAACATTAGAGCCCAGTGTGGTTCACTCCGGTTTTTTGGCAGCCAGGCAGAAGTTAGTGCCGTGCTTACAGATGGTCACTGCAGCAATTCCCTGTCCATCCGCTCACCTGACTTAGTGAAGACTTCCTCTAAAATTAGTACCCACAGGAAAGGGTCTCTACAGCACGTCTGTCTGCCATTCCTGCCAGGATTTTCACTATTTCAGCCTCAACTCATGTCTCCAAAGTCTCTTTCAGAAGGAGAAAAGCTGATTTGGACCACAGAGTGAATGAGATACTGCCTGACTTACAATGACAGGACGCAGAGATTAGATTTGTCCCTGTTTAAACCTGTGGCAGGTTGTGATCTTATGAGACAGGTTGTTATGGAATGAATCATGTTGCTTTTCATGGTCAACTCTATAAATGGGTCATTGTTGCTGTGCTTCATTTAAGGGAGATGCTGTACATGCATGGTCAGAGTCTGGTTCAAGAGCCAATTACGTCACGAAAATATTTTTTTTCATTTTTCCTGGTGTATTACATTATAACAATCCACCTCAAATTTTACCCCTGAAATGTCTTGATTAGCCTTTTTTGTTTTTTGCACAGGTGTCTTTTAGAATTTGATTTCCCTTTCGCTAAGGGTTGGCCATTAGTTCAACTATGTGTACAGTTCTAGTTTGGGGAGGCTTTTAATTTGAATGCTCTATTATAAATAACAACTATTTTGTGTGTTTTTAATATACAGTATATTTGGTTTTATTTCTGAGCAAGCATCACCCTGGGTGAGAAGGAAAAACCTGTAGCACATCCTCATCTAATGCATAAATACATATCATGAATGTGTTTGTTCACTCCATTGATTTATGTGGGTCCACAGTTCTTGGATGTGCAGCAAGTGGGAGAGTTTTTGTTTGTCTTTGCTCGAGGGCAGGGTAAACAAGTGAAACTGCAGCATGAGAGTGGGACAGTGTGCATCCCATTGTGCAGCGAAGCCAGTCGGTGCTTCTCCTTTCTTCACACATTTTGTTTCGTCTCCTTCCATCCTCTCATCTTCTGCTTGACAAAAGGTTACACAAAATCAATAGCTCCAACACAGAATCGATACCATCCGGCCAGAGGTTCTCTCCCTTATTTATCCGTTTATTTGTTTTGTTCTGCAGAGCATGTTAACCTTATATAAAAGTATTTAACAATACTTAAATGTATGTACCCATATTAGACGTATATCCAGGATGTAACATTTTCTCCAAAGGCGTATATTTAGCAAGCGTGTTTTGTTCCTCTGGTTGTACAGACTGTACTATAACATTGTGGAGTTAACTTGTGCTTCTCCCCTTTCATCTTTTACTTCTAGTTCCTCCTGTCATCAGAGTTTACCCAGAAAGCCAGGCTAGAGAGCCAGGCGTCACTGCAAGTCTGCGCTGCCATGCTGAAGGTATCCCCAGCCCCCAGTTGTCCTGGCTGAAGAACGGCATGGACATCACCACCAAGCTGTCAAAACAGCTCACCCTGCAAGGTACAGGAGTCAAACTTACAGTTCACTCAGTGGACACTACTGCCTGAGTTATATATATATATATTAATTAAATTTCATATTCTGAAGTTTCTTTTTCTCAGGCAAACTCTGGGTCAAAAATTGTTGTACTGTTGTTTACTGTCCAGTATGCTGCTGATTTGGCATACCTACTTGGATAGCATACGCTGATAAGTTGCACACATGGCCAAAATTAAGACACTGGATTGTGCAGTCTCTCTCT